AGACAGAGAATCCCAAGTAGGCTCCACACTGTCAGCTCAGAGCCCAATGTAGGGCTCTAACTCATGAATGGTGAGATCATGACCTGAACTGAAATTAAGAGTTGATGGCTTAACAGACTGAGCCACCCAGATGCCCCTTTTTGTTTGTTTTGACAAAAGCCTGAGGGAGTGGATAATTCAAGATGAGGCTATTAAGAGTGAAATATGATAAAAAATATATTTAAAAATAATTAAAAATGATAAAACAAAAAATAAAATAAAATAATAAACATAACTTTAAAAAAAAAGAGTGAAAAGGAAAAGACCCAACTAATGAAATTCAGGCATGGCCCTGGTAAATTATCAAAAATTGTAGGCTTTCTTAGTGTCTATGATTTGAGGATTTCATGAGGATAAAAAAGACTTCCATGGGCACCTTAAAATGAGAATTACTTCGTTTAACTGGAATGACTTGCGCGCGCATGCGCGCGTGTGCGACATTTTGCAGTAGTCAGTCATACGTAACATAACTAGTTACATTTGGTTCTTTAATGTAACATACATATAACTAGAGCACATCAGAGCCTGGAAAAGCCTCCTGAACGCCTGAAAAGATACTTGTGTGACTAAAGGGAGGTAGGATAGTACTGGGTTTGAACGAAATGAAAAGAAACCTACCCTACAGTAGGTTGCTACAGTCCCTAGTTGGTAATAATGGCGAATATAATGGCTGCCTAGGCAACGCGGCCTAGCAAATTCTGGTATAAAGTGGCTGTTGGCTACTGACTCCTAAGACATTGGTGGACTACGGTGAGGGAGGAGCGCTGACGAGATAGCCGTTCCAACGGAAAGAGAAAGATAATCCAGTCATTTTATTTTATATGTTATATTCACATATAAATTAAAATCTGGTTATTGTATTTCAACAGCATGTCATAAAAAATATTTTTCCACTTGTTTGTCTAGATGGAAAATTCAGATTCTGACGAAGAAGATGGATCCGTGGCCCGGAGCAGAAGTCAGATGGACCGATTGGTCCGGGAAGAAAACTTCTATGAATTTGTAAATAACCTGAGTGAAGAAGATTACAAGCTTATGAGGGATAACGATTTATTAGGCATCCCTGGTGAAAGTACACTAGAAGAGTTGTTGAAGAGACTTCAACAAATTAAAGAAAACCCACCGGAAAACTCGGAGGAAAATACAGGTATATTTCACTTTTAGGGAGGGAGACTAGAACGGGATGGGTAAGGAACTTCATAATTGTGTTAGCCAAAGAGGAATCAGAAGTGGCACATGTTAATTTGGTGCTAAGTAATTTCTCGTCAAAGAGAACTGGTATTTACTTGATTTTCAGTGAAAATGTAAAGATAGAGTTTTTTTTGGTTTTTTTTTTTTTTCTCCCCAGTTCATATTTGGATTACTTTAATTGGGAAACAGTGTGAAATAGCCTATTGATATTTTCTTGGTTTTCCACCTCAACTGAAAGTTCCTCCCACTTCCTGAGTTATTTTTGTTATATGGCCTTCTTCACCAGCAAAAAAATACTGTATATGCTATTCAACTGGTGGTAATTTTGCCCCCAATTCCCCAGGGAATGTTTGACAATGTCTTGGGATATTTTTGGTTGTCAAAAATGATGAGTGGGTGTTACTGGCAAATATTGGGCAGACGCCAAGGATCTTACAATGTATAAGATAGCTCGGGGCGCCTGGGTGGCGCAGTCGGTTAAGCGTCCGACTTCAGCCAGGTCACGATCTCGCGGTCCGTGAGTTCGAGCCCCGCGTCAGGCTCTGGGCTGATGGCTCAGAGCCTGGAGCCTGTTTCTGATTCTGTGTCTCCCTCTCTCTCTGCCCCTTCCCCGTTCATGCTCTGTCTCTCTCTGTCCCAAAAATAAAAATAAACGTTGAAAAGATAGCTCCCCAAAACAAAGAGTTGCCTAGCACCAAAATGTTAACAGTGCCAAGGTTGAGAAATCCTGCTCTAACCCCAGGTCTGGTGCTTTTCTCCTAGTGTGAAGTAGAGAATTTTACTGTCTAATGAAGAGGATATATAACAGTTTGGTTCTTAAATATGGCCTCAAATGTACTATGCTAGATTCAGGTTATTCATTTGATCTGACCTTCAATTTCATGTCAATTCAAAATCCTGTCACATTAAGGGGCGCCTGGGTGGCGCAGTCGGTTAAGCGT